TTAATCACACCACCAGCAATAGCTAAACCAATACCAATTCTTCCTAACAAACTAAATTCTTCTATCGAAATAAAATATTATCTCAATATCTTACCAATATTATTGAATAAACGAGATGAAACCATTGTCTTTTTTTTTTCTTCGAAAAGAAAAACATGCATAATCATAATCAAATTAAATTTGTTTAGTTGTTTTGTTTTTATTAGCAAATAGTTCCAGAAACAAAACGAAACCATATGAAAATTCTTCATATCGCTATCGATAGAAAAAGAAAATGCATCACTATTTAATCTATCTATCTACTACAATAACAAACGAATGTGATATATACATACAAAAAGATTAAATAACAATAAACTTTGAAAGCAAAAGAAAAATACATGCATACTTTTAAATAAATCGAAATCCACTTGAAAAAATATGAGTACCGTTTTTTATTTTAGACAAAATAAAAGAAAAACAAAACGTGCATAAAGTTTAGCACCGTTCAGATATTGTTCACCATTGAGTTTTAATGAATTTGATGTATCACTGTTCTTTGCTACTGCAGCAGCAATTGCTTCGAGTGCTGGAACAGTCTATGAAGAAATTATGTATATCATACAAAAAAAAATGTTTTTCAATTACTATAATTCTTGATTTTGTTGGAAAAAATTGTCGTGGAAATGATGCACCATCAACACAAAAGTCTTCACGATTTTTATAGTTTTTTTTTTAAATTTCTTCAAGTTTTGAATTAATTTTTGGTTTTTGTCGAGAATATTTTAAAAATGCCCAGAAGTTTTCTAAACCATACAATTGACCTAAATAGAAAAAATATTTTCTTATTGACACTTTATTTTTTTTTGTAATCTATTTTATTACCAGCTTCATGATCACAAAGAGTTTCTTGTTGAAAATCTTCAAATACATGTTGACGAAAATGTTTTTCTAGACCATATGTATAAAATTGAAATAGACATTCAACACCATATCTATACATAAATAGTAATATTCAATTTTTTTCTTATTATTTTTCATAAAAACAATTCATTTATATGCCGATGATCAGTTTTAGTATCTTCAACAGCATATTGTTTAAATTCATTGTACATATGGCGATTAAAATTTTCACATAAAAAAAATGACTAAAAACGATAGAGTGTATTCATTTCCATTGACTGACCAGGACCAAGTTTAACGCGTTCTAGAAATTAGATCATTACAGAAAACAAAATGTATTTTATTTGTAAATCAACATAACTTTAGATTATAAATATTTTCTATGAAATAATAAAGTTTGGCGATTAGTGTAACTTAGTGTTTTTAATCATTGACGATTATTGTATTGCTTTTCAAATTTATCATGTAGATAAGAATGATAGTATTTATTTTAAAAAATCCATAAAAGAGTAAAATATTTGTTTTTTTTCTCTGCAATCAACTTTTTTTTGTTTACCATCAAGCACATTCTTATTTATATTTAAGATAAATTTGTTGAGTAAAACCATTTTGTTGTAAAAGTATATGAGATGGATGTTGAAATTGAAGAATTTCCACCAGTGTTGAACCATAAAAATCATATGAATTTGAATTATTTCCATGCCAATAATTTGAATCATTGTATGATGATGAATATTGATCATAGAAATCTTGTTGTCGATTTCTAAATAAGAAAAAGAGACTCATTCTATACTAATAATAATTGACATTTAAGTGTTTATATTAAAAACAAATAATATAAGAAAATTTGTCAAAAAAAAAAAGCAACACAAGTTATTTTTTACTATATTCAATTTGTAATAAGTAAAGTGAAAGCAAAACATTTAGAACCGTAATATTTTTTGACTTCTTTCCTTAACGATAACAACTACTATACTCTAAATATTTCTCACTATCGGATATGTGTTTGAATTGAGATCGGAGTTATTTTGAGAAGAGTTACCTCTTTCATTATGAACACAACATTATGAAATAAACAAGCAACACAGTAATATTTATGTCTGACCAATCGATTAAAGGCATTTGAAGAACTTCAACTCACTCTATTACTTATGGACATCAACCGAATTAATTATTAAAATCTTATTCGATATATTGAGAGAAAAAGGACAAAAATAAATATTATCAATCAAAAGATAATCATGTTGATGCATACAAGATAGTTTTCTCGATCTTTATACAAGATCTATCAATGTGAAATTTCAATGTGTAGATTTATTCAAGTCCAGGAAGTATTGAGAATGAAAACAGTGATACACTTCTTGTATACAACATTGTTTCATTTGAATGCATTTCTACCAGTACATGAAATATGTATTGACGTATACTTGAGTGAGGAAGCTGGAATCGTTGACCTACGATTCATCACTGGACCTGTTCAACTTTGTCCGAATTCATCAATTCGACAGAGTATTTCAAGTTCTTAATGTTCATTCTTCTCGTTTAGAATGAAATGACGAGAATGAATAGGTGTGTTGAAAAGCTTCAGCGACTTTTATTTTATTTTTATTTATCAGAATAAGAAAACTACAGATCAGAATAATTCTTTAGAACCTTGATGAGGCAGATCGAACTTGCCATTCCTACTTGCATATGACGAAAAACTGTTTTTAATCTTATTAAACATCCGATATATCCATGCGAGTAATAATATGATAATTGCGATAATAACTGGACCACCCAACAAGCCGAATCCAATGCACAGTTGAATTAATGCACCTCGTGAACTTATTAAAGACCATAGAATGAAAGTGACACGATCATGTTCGTAATAACATGTGTAGTTTTTACCAATCTGTTATAAAACAAAACCGAATAGAAATAATGTCTTCGAAAATTTTTCGAATATGAATCTTACTTGTACTAAACTTCTGATTCACAATTGGACAAATAAGTTTTTCATAGAGATTCTTCTAATAGAGTATCTCAAAGTCTACCTATGATGGCTCATGTACTAGCACCCGTTGGTCCTCAAAATGACAGAGTCAGTCATTGAACTATTTTTTCTATTCGATAATACAGATTCCTCACTCGTGATGATCAATGCTAGTACCACCTTTCAGATTTAAAACAGAGCATTTTCAAACTCGGGTGCTTTTTGCATAACTATACCACGTCATTCATCTTGATTTTTTTTGTGATTATTCCTCTGTAACACTGAATTGAAACTGTGCACTCGGATCTGAATTTCAAGCCTCGATTTAAACCTATCCTTGAAAAAACCGATTAGATAAAATATCGAAGATTAATTTTAAATTTATCTATATGATATTTATGAAATGTTTTAAAAAAGAAATTCAATGATAGTTAATTGGATTAAACCAGTGCCAAATCTATGATATATATTCATGGTTCATACCTCATTTTGCGTGTGTAGTTTTCTATTGTCCTTAATAGAAAGTACACTTGTCACGATTGTTCCATTCGCTATTGGATATGAGACGATGAAGCGTTCGTCATAACAAATATAACTTGTACAGCTGCGAGCATTACGACTTGAACACGAGAGACAATTGTGAACAAACTTAGTGTAATCGAGTAACAGACATGTTGTTTCCGTGTACAGAGCATTGCTCTTGCGTATTTTGACATATTTGTCAGCTCCGAATGAACCAACAAAAATGCATGGAATAAACACAAAGCCTGCGCATCCGAGCAAGCAGACTGAACAACTTGTCCAGAAACTTGACATCGTCGTGATAGATCTGATTATGAAGAAGAAATGCAAGTATCGTCGTTGTATACATCGTTCTTTTATTAGTGACAGCAAGAAGATCCGTTGGAAAAATCCACAAGATATGAAGCATCGAGTTCTACTGCGTCATATTAACTACTTTTATCACTCGTTTCTGACGTTATCATATTGTGTAGGAAGAAGGTGGTCAGAAGTTGCTTGATTCAATAAAAAGAACGAAAGAATTCTTATGGTAGAGAGAGAAAGAAAAATATGATTTTCATATCTTGAGTGATGGATTCTCTGAGGGTGTGGGTGTTGGTCTGGGTGGTCTCTACAATAACATCCACACCCTCACCCACACCCTCGTGTCATCACATATCAATCTTGTCTATACAAATTGATAAACACAACCTTAGGAAATGGTGATATAAGTAAAGTTGATTCGCTTGAACCATTCTGCTATATGTTATGTTTCCATTTGCTGACGGACAGTATGAAGCATGTCAACCAGAAAGATTTACAACTGCCAGAGTAGCTTCTCTATCGTCGTGCGACATTGCCCGATGAGATGATTATAGACCAAGTAACGCAGCGCAAACGTTGCTAACCCTCTACTGGAAGGATGAGCTGGATTGAAGATAGGATATTAGAAGTACTATTGTCAGATTTTTTTTTAAATACGAGCCACCATTTTTTGAATAACTCTTGACTGTTGATGGCTATCGAGTTTGGCTTTTAGTCATTCGATACAGCGGCGCGAGAAGCGTCTAGCTATACGTGAGCCATTGTGATTGGAAAAGTTTTCTATATGTCTTTACAAAGGAATATCTTTTCGATACATCACTCCCATAGTTTCTATAGCAACGAACGCTCAAATGACACCAGAATATAGCCTGACTCTAGCTGGGCGTGGGTGTGGGTATGAGCCTTAGATTCACCCACACTCACCCCCGCTACGCCTTTTGTATGCAATTAAAACTTGCTCGTTCTTATCTCACAGATTTTTTATTTGAGAAGTTGATTATACACGAAGGAGTATTCTTTATCTGTACTTTTTTCCCAGGAAAAAAGACGTAAGTTGATATGAAGTATATGTTGGGAGCATATAACAAATTTACAAAAAGAAGAATATAGCGGTTACCACGTCTTTTTTGAAAAGTTTGGGCACTAATAAAATAGGGTTCAATCGATTCCAATTACCATTCGACTCAAAGTTGTTATTAACCGATAGATCTTCGATTCTCCATCTAGGAGAGCAGTATTGTGACCGATATACTGGTTACACTTTTAAATTAGGGTCTATGCAACTCGTCTTTTAAAACGTCTTTGAGGAAAAAACATTAAAATGTCACTTTCTGGTTCTTCTTCAAGCTTAGGTTCGAGGGTGGGTGGGTGTTTCGATGAGTGTAAATGATGAGGAATAGCCGACTCACACATATATCCACATCTGCACCTATACCTACGTCCACACCCCACACTCCTACTCACACTCTAGGGAACTCTGGAATCCTCTAGGATCTGGAGGAATACTTGGAATTATAAGTTACCATAGAGAATTCTTAGTATTCAGAGAATTTCAAGGTTCCAGGATTTCATGATTTTCCCTGTGGATAGACTAAAATAGAAGCTGATACTAATAGAAACTCAATAATCTATATAGTTTCCACATGTTATGTCTTCGTAAAACTGAAGTAATAGATTTTCCTCGAAAGAATTAGTGACTTGAACCCATTCGGATCTGTGCAAATAACTAGAAGAACTACTTTGCAGATTTAGTGAAGTAAACTCTTGAATCAACTTGTTTCTCTGGTCTTTTCTTCGAAATCTCATGACTTGTAGTATGTTATATAGCTCTCTTTATCGTGTTTGGAATACTCTTTTTAGTCTTAGAAATTCTTCTAATAAGGTGCTTATTAAAGTAAAATGATGCAAGTTAACCATACCGAGCCAATTTCACTGTTGGTTTCTTCCGACTTGGGCGAGTGTTGTATAAGCTGGAGAGGTAGGTTCGTTATCAAATAGCTCTTTTTTTACCTTCGCCTCAAGACAATATTGCGTTCTTTTTTTACATCATGTTTTCCTTTCGTTTTTCTTTTTGAGTACTTTTTTTATCTATACACTCCTCTTAGAAGAATTACATGTAGTGACAATAAAATATTCAAGATAAAGAGAACAAGATCATTAACCGTCAACATCACATACTTGCACAAAGAAATTCAGTTCATCGAAAGTTTATATATCAATCTTAGTTTCTATAAAATACACAGTAGGCGACATCGTTTAATAAGGAACAATAACTAATAAAGATTAATCTTAAGAGGAAC